AATTACCAGGCAGCAATGGGAGCATACCAGAAGCATCTCTGGAATAAAGTGCTGCCAGCGCTTCAAGTTGCTCTTGAGGATATCAGGTAAGAGTGTTTAAATGCTCATGCTGAAGCTATAACATTATCCAAGCACCAACGTTTAGCTGCTAGACATGCCACAGATGTTTCTGCTAAAACATTGAATTCTGCCATAACCCTTCGACGCCACGCCTGGCTCAGGGCATCTGGTATTATTGAGGACGTGAAAAAGCAAATTAAAGAACAGGCTTTTGATATGAAAGGTTTATTTAACAAAAAGACTGATGAATCACTCAAGTCCATACATGAAAGGGGTTTTTACTCCCAGTATTTCACAGTTTGAAAAAAAAGATGGGTGTCTCAGACCCATACTAGACCTCAGGGACCTCAACACTTACCTTCAGCCACGCCAGTTCCGGATAGTCACCCTGGAGTCCATCGTCCACCTGTTGAGAAAGGGAGATTGGTTTGTGGTTATAGACCTGAAGTACGCATACTTCCACGTCACCATACACCATCATCACAGGAAGTATCTGCGGTTCATAATCAACAACAAGGTCTACCAGTATGCGGCCTTACCATTCGGCTTAGCAACGGCTCCACGCACATTTACAAAGTGCATGGCTCCAGTGGCTGCATTTCTACGTCTACAAGGTGTAAAAGTATTCCCGTACATCAACGATTGGCTCATAGTGTCGCTGTCCAGACAGAAAGCCATTCAGGATACCAAATTCACCCTCCACACTCTGCAAAGTCTAGGCCTCACCATAAATTTCGAGAAATCTACCCTAAAGCCTTCTCGAGTTATGAGTTATATAAGAGCAGCACTGGACTCCAGAAAGGCACGGCTCTTCCTTCCTCCAGAGCGCATCCACAAACTACAGACCGCTCTTCAACAGTTTCAACCACAGTCCCTAGTGTCAGCACATCACGCACAACATCTGCTGGGCCTCATGGCCTCAACTACAGCATCCTTACCACATGCTAAAAATGTGCTCACTACAGGCTTGGTTTCTCCATCATTTCGACCCAATGTTAGAGGACCCGAGGAGGAAGATCCTAGTCACCCCATAGCTGGCAAAACAACTACATTGGTGGGGTTTCCGACCTCATCTGCTCATGGGCTGCCCTTTTCGACCTCTGCAACTCTCTGCACAAGTAACAACAGATGTGAGCCCCACAGGCTGGAGAGCTCACTGCAACGGTCATACCATACATGCCGTCTGGTCACATCGTCAAAGAGGACTCCACATCAACCATCTGGAGATGCTAGCAGCGATCAAGTCGTTCAGAGCCTTCCTGCCGCTGATACAGGGTTGTGCTGTGCAAGTTGTAACAGACAACATCACGACCTTGTACTACATCAACAAACAAGGCAGGATGAGGTCCTTATCCCTTCTCTACCTTGCAGTGCACCTGTGGGAGTGGTGTTGCCACCATCACATTTATCCAGTGGCAATCCACATATCCACATCAGAAAACCAACTGGCAGACGAGCTGAGTCGCCGGAAGGGACAATCCCATGAGTGGGAACTGGATGACGATGTATTCCAGATGCTGTGCAGAAGATGGGGACGACCGACCATCGACATGTTTGCTTCGCACATGAACAGGAAGTGCGAGAGGTATGCATCTTCAGCAGGCAGGGGCCCCGGTTCCCAGGGAGATGCCTTCATGATACCATGGCAGGACCACCTTCTGTACCTATTTCCACCAATCTCTCTGATCCAAAGATCTCTAGTCAGGATCATACAGCAGAGGTCGTCATCAGTTCTCATAGCACCATACTGGCCATGTCAACCATGGTTCTCTACTCTGGAGGAGTTGGCCACCGAGGTATTCAGACTTCCACTTGTGCCACATCTGCGACACAGGATTCAGGGAATGTTCTATACCCGGAGTTGGACTCCCTCCACCTGGCTGCGTGGAAGATCTGCCTGAAATCAAAGAGGTGTTAGACAAATCCAAAAAAAAATCTACTATCCTCTTATACAAATACAAGTGGAATAATTATCTTCGTTTTGCCACTGCCAGAGATCTCCAGACTTCTCCAGTCTCCCTACAGACTTTACTCTTGTATCTCAAACATCTTTTTGATCTCGGCCATACCTTGTCGACTCTCAAGGTGTACATTTCTGCAATAGTCTCTTTCCAACCCAGGGACTCAGAATCTTCACGTCTCTTTTCTCATCCTACATTGAAAGCATTCTTAAAAGGACTGATCAACATTCACCCTCCTACAAGGCCTCCAGTACCTCAATGGTCCCTTACATTGGTTCTGCAATCACTCATGAAGCATCCCTTTGAACCTATGGCTTTGTGTGATGTTAAATTTCTTTCCCTAAAGACTCTGTTTCTAGTTGCAGTTACGTCTGCTAGAAGAGCAAGTGAGTTGGCAGCCCTAAGGTCTGATCCTCCTTACCTACAATTCTATAAGGACAAAGTTATGTTGTTTCCAGATGTTTTGTTCCTGCCTAAAGTTGTTACAGATTTTCACCTCAATCAACCTATTTTGTTACCTACCTTGTTTTCTGATCCTTCGTTTGATGTTGAAAAAATGCTCCATTCCCTGGACGTTAGAAGGGCGTTAGCATACTTTGTTTCCAGAACAAAGGACTTTCGGAAAGCTGAAAGACTTCCTGTGCTTCTTTGGACCACAAAAGGGTTGTGCAGCAGCATCTTCTACCTTGTCACGGTGGCTTGTCTCCACTATTACTCTTGCCTGTCAACTTGGAAGTAAAGATGTGCCTGAAGGTCTTAAGGGACATTCCACAAGGTCCATGGCGACATCTACTGCCTTACTACGTGGTGTGGACATTCCAGAAATCTGCAAGGCAGCAACAGGGTCCAGAGTGTCCACATTTGTGACCCACTACAAGTTGGACCTTCGGGCAAAGAAGGAGACGAGTTTTGGAAGGGCTGTCTTGACATCTGTCCTGCAGTGACAGCCCTCCTTCCGGTAAATTAGCTTGTCAGTCACTCAAATGTGTGATTCACAGAGACCACACTGAAGAAAGAAAGGTTACTTACCTGTAACCATGGTTCTTCAAGTGGTTCTCTGTGAATTCACACATTTGGGTTAAATCAGCGCCTGTGCTGGAACTTCGGAACCTTCTAGAGCTTTTCTGAAAAAGATACAAAGTTCAGATTGCCCCTTGCACGCATGCTCCATTCCCCTCCATCTCCAGTTCCTTTTTTTCCCGCCATTGGGAGGGAATGGAGCATGCGTGCTAGGGGCAACCTAAACTTTGTATCTTTTTCAGAAAAGCTCTAGAAGGTTCCAAAGTTCCAGCACAGGCGCTGATTTAACCCAAATGTGTGAATTCACAGAGAACCACTTGAAGAACCATGGTTACAGGTAAGTAACCTTTCTTTCTTAGTTTGGACCTAAGAGGAGATTGTAGCTTATGAAATCAGTGAATTGTGACACCTCAGGGGGGGAAATGCCACAAGGACAAAGCCCACAGGCACACTTATGCCTCTCTCCATACATGCTGAAGTAGATACATTTTGCCTGCCACCACTGCACATGGAATGTGTCTTTCTCTGTGCTTGGGAAGTATGGAAGTAGCCCAGATTCATGGACCTTAGAGTCAGCAGGATGGATGCAAAAATTAATGGATGCAAAAATTCAGGATAGACCTCCTTAGACTGGTAGTAGAATGATCCAACAGGCTGATTTAATGAGCTGTTTGAATCTGATGGAATCCCATCTGCATGTTCCAATCCAGACTCTTCACCAGAAATTCCTCAATCACTCAATCACTTCCAGTTTCTAACAAAGGCATTTTCTAGTCTAAAAGAAAATGGCAAATAATGCTCCCTAGAGTATTCTTGTTAATTTGCTATTTTTGGGTGCAAATATTTTTGTTAGATTGCAGTGAGGGCCATGTGTGGGCCTATAAGCCAAATGTGGCCCACCACTGATGTAATCAAATAGTATAGTGATGATCTTGCAAAAGGACAATTGTTTCCAGAATCATACTGTTCTTATTACTGGAGCCATGCTGTCGTGGGTATTCCTCAGATATACGCAAGAAATTGCTATTACCCAAGTTTTTGCTGATTTTACCATGGCAGAGGCAATATTTGTGGAACTTTTATGTATCTTCTCATTTCCGTGTGGATTTATGGAAATCAGAGCATAGATGCTAAAGTATAATGTCATATTGTATTGGTGTTTTTTGAGCTTTATCTTTTTTTAAGAATAGGTTTTAGTTCTCAATAATTCTGTAACTAATTCTGAGTACTTGGGATTGAGTGGGGTTGTATAGAAATCAAAATTAATATAGTTTTGCTCATTAAATTAATTGATCTTACCATTGCAGTTTCGGAAAGAAAGGTATAACTTCCCCTCCCAGACATCATGATTTTGTTGTTATGTTTTTATCCTGCCTTTCCTTAAAGGAACTCAGTATCATATGCAGGCTCTTCCTTTCCCCCTTCCCTGAACCCAGCATCCATGTGAGGTGGGTTAGTCTCAGAGATAGAATGGTTGGTCCAAGGTCAGTCAGTGAGGATTAGAACCTAAATTCACTGATATAAGACTTTCATGCTTTTCACTATAGCATTGTCTCTCTAAATACAAGAAATATCAGATAATGAAATTACAATTCTTCAAATGTGTTTTAGAGAATCTTGTTATTGCTCCCTTGAAGCCTGTAAAGCATTTTCCTTTCCTTTTCGTTGTCTTTTAGTTAACAAATCTAAACCTAATGAATGGAGCTGTAGGGAGAGTGACTGCAACTTCCCCCAGTTACCGACCACCGCTCAACCCAGGAGGCTCACTTTGGGCTTTTCAAACACACACACACAACTCTGAAATCAGACCTGCATCTTTGACAGTTAGGTAAGTTAAATAACTTCAGCCTCAGAATGCTTGTGTAACTTTTGGAGATGTATCTGAATATCACTTGATTTCAAGGATATATGTCAACTGAACGAAACTGGAGTGAAGAAATGTGTCACCTTGGAGGAGCTCTGCAATTCCACAGGCAAACTTAAGAATGAGTGATTTGATATTGGTGATATCATATGGGTTAGAAAACACCCAAAGTTGTTGCTGGATATGCATTTCGTTTATATGTAGTATGTAGTGGCAAGATGAAAGAAACAGAAGACTATCTCTTTTCCTCATTTCCTGCTTCGTATCTAAACTAGTTGTAATCTCCATATTATCTTCAGCAGTAGCTCTATATAGTGCATTACAGTAAGCCACTCTGGATGCAATGAATGACTTCACAAATTTGGCTTTTCAAATAAAGGATTCAACTAACAAACTAGTCAGGGGAACTAAAAGCACGCATGGCCACAGCGTGTGATATTTTCGGGGGCTAAAGGAATCTGCGCATGCCCACATGCCCGTACTCCTGCCTGCCCACATGTACGCACCCCTGCCTGCCCACACGCACACACAGACTCCCTCCCACCCACACGCACCCCTGTCCACACACATGTATGGGCCAGATAAAAAGGCCAGGTGGGCCGGATGTGGCCCTCGGGCCATACTTTTGAGACCCCGGTCTAGAAGTAAGAACACTTCTATGTATTTCCCCAACCTATGAATTTGTTGTAATGTAGCGGATGGAGTGATGAACTACGACTCAGATTCCAATCCCTGCTCAGCCATGGAAGCTCACTAGGGGTTGGGACTAGTAAAACCACTTCTTAAATATGTCACATACCTTGACAACCGTATTAGGATCACTATAAGTCAGACTTTGTTTATTTATTTTGTCTTGTTTATAGGTTATTTTTCTCCTGATACAGGAGCTCAAGGCATCTCACAATATTAAAAATAATAGAATTTAAAATACAGTAAGTTAAACATCAAAAAACCCTATAAAACTAATTAAAATACATTGAATAATTAAAAATATGTATACCGCTAAATAATCTTAAATAAAAAATGGCATTCCGGGACTCAGTCACCATTATTAAAAGGTTCATTCTTCAGCTGTCAGTGGAAGGATAAAAGGGAAGGGGGCCAACCTGACCTTCCAAGGGAGAGCATTCCATAACCTGGGAGCAGCCACAGAGAAAGTTTTCTCTCATGTCCTTATCAACCATACCTGTGCTGGTAGTGGGACCGAGAGGAGGTGAAAGCTAATATGGAGAGATATGGTCCTTCAGGTAGCTTAGACCCAAGCTTTATAGATAATGACCAGCACTTTGAATTGGGTCTGGAAACGGACTGGTAGCCAGTGCAGTTGTAGCAAGGGCTCTCCGTTTTGAAACAGCTGAAGTTTCCAAAATGTCTTCAAAGGCAGCCCCAAGCAGAGTGCATTAGACTAATCCAAGTAGGATGTAATTAGGTATGTGTCACTGTTGCAAAATCAGACATCTTAAGCATATGACTTGGCAACATGTAACACACACACACAAAGACATCTGCTATTTAAGAGAGCAAGAAATACCATCCAGAATAGACTTAAACATTGCCTTCGGTATCATTAGAATCTTCAAGTACTGCTTCTATCAAATGCAGATTAAGTTTCTGTTTACTCACACTCATACTCACCAAATATAAGCTACCACCACTTTCTTTAACAGCAGATTTTTTTCAGATTCTGATGTCTAGAATCCTATTAACTGGAGAAGCTATGAATTGACCCTGGTATTTTCATGCAGACCAAGCATGTGCTGTACCATTAAGTCACAACTCTTGACCCTGAACTTTCACTTTTGGGTTAGATTACTATAAATGCAGGGATGGGAAACATCTGGCCCTCCAGATGTTTTTGGGCTATGAGTTCGCCATTAGCTGTGCTGGCTGAAGCTGAAGGAAGTTGCAGTCCAGTAACATCTGAACAGCCACATGTTTTCCATTTTTGCAGAAAACAGAAAGCATGTGTTAAACATACGGGTACCCTTGGGAATAGTTGGAAGCTTCAACCTGTGCAGAATTTGGCAGGAAGAATTCTGACCAACTTAGCAAAGCTGCATGAATTCTTAACGATTTATATTGGCTGCTGGTTTTCATTTCAAAATTCAAGATCACTTGGAACACCAGTACCCAAAGGAGTGCTTCCTTCTTTATCATAAGCCCCTTCATTAAGATCCTCAAAGGAGACCAACCCTTCTCATAGTACCATCAGTAGGAGAAATACTTTAAAAAGAGGAAGCCCTATTAGTGATGGCAATCCGGTTTTGGAATGTCGTCTGTAAGAATGTACAATGGTCTTTTTTTGGCACTAAATTAAAGTATTCTCATTTGCCCACCATTTTTAGTGTTAACTATGCTTTAATTTGCTTGTTTGCTGCTTGAATATGTTTTTTCAATAGTTTCTTTTTTAATCTTTACATGGTGTTTTCTTTCGTGGCATTGGATACACTGCCCAGGGACCCCTTGGTACACTTTTAATAAACAAATAAAATGGTCTGCTCCTACCTTTTACTCTTTCCTATTCCTCTTTTCACTGAAGAGCTGCCACTCTTCCCTTTAACCCTTCTGCTGCTGCAACTAAATTCAATAGCCCTTTTATCATCATGATTCTTTTCCTGCCTGTTTGCTTAATTTACTTAAAGAAAGACGAATGGACAGTTCAGGCTTCGGCTTCTATTTGTTGTTTGCCTTGGATAGCATGCTATAGAGACAGTTGTTTGTGTGTAAAAGGTTGCAAATCAGTGTGGATAGGTTTGTTCTCCTTGCAGTCCAGGGGACTCTCAAGAGTCTCCTCCAGCACCACAATTCAAAAGCATCAATTCTTTGGCGGTCAGCCTTCTTTATGGTCCAGCTCTCACTTCCATACATCATTACTGGAAAAACCATAGCTTTGACTATGCTGACTTTTGTCAGCAAGATGATGTATCTGCTTTTTAAGATGCTGTCTAGGTTTGTCATCACTTTCCTCCCGAGAAGCACGTGTCTTTTAATTTCATGGCTGCTGTCATCATCTGCAGTGACCATGGAGCCCAAGAAAGTAAAATCTGTCACTGCCTCCATATCTTCCCCTTCTATTTGCCAGGAGGTGATGGGACCAGTGGCCATGATCTTAGTTTTTTTTATGTTGAGCTTCAGGCCATTTTTTGCGCTGTCCTCTTTCACCCTCATTAAGAGGTCCTGCCAGTGTGGTATCATCTGCATATCTGAGGTTGTTGATATTTCTTCCAGCAGTCTTAATTCCAGCTTGGGATTCCTCCAATCCAGTCTTTCGCATGATGTATTTTACATATACCGTATTTGCCGTCGTACAAGACGAGTTTTTTGGCCCCCAAAACATACCTCCAAGTGGGGGGGGGTCATCTTGTATGCTGGGTGCACTTCATTTGGGCCAGGAAGGAGCCGCCACCGCCGCCGAGTGAGTGATGCGGGGCTGCGCTGGCCGGGGAGGAAGGCAGGCGAGCAGGCAGGCAGTTGGTCCGGATGGAGGGAGGGAAGCAGAGCCGGCCATGCCTGAGGGGCCAGAGCCCGCCACCGGGCTGCCTGCCACCCTGCGCCACTGAGCCAGGTGCGCGCTCGCTCGCCCACCACCCGCCCGCTTCCCCTCCTCATCCTCATCCTCCTCCTGCCGCCGCCCTCCCAGCCTCTTCCCTTCTTCCTCGCCCTCCTCCCCGCCGGCCATGAACTTCCAAGGCAGGCCCGGGCAGAGCCCTGGGCACCCGCCGCCAGCACCGCAGCAGAGCCGCCCACTCTATATTTTGAGTGGAAATGTTGGGGGGTCGTCTTATACAGCCAGTCGCCTTGTATGTTGGCAAATACGGTAAGTTAAATAAGCATGGGGACAATACTGTATAGAGCAGTGGTGTCGAACTGTGGCCCTCCAGATGTTCTTGGACTTCAACTCCCAGAAGCCTTCACCACCACCTCTGCTGGCCAGGCTTTCTGGGAGTTGAAGGCCAAGAACATCTGGAGGGCCACAGTTCGACACCACTGCTCTATACAGTATTGTCCCCATGCTTATTTCATAAGTTGGTCAGGTGCTCCCATTTCTTTAAGAACTTTCCATAGTTTGCTGTGGTCCACACAGTCAAAGGCATTTGCGTAGTCAATGAAGCAGAAGTAGATGTTTTTCCAGAACTCTTTGGCTTTATCCATAATCCAGCGCATGTTAGCAATTTGGTCTTGAGTTCCTCCCCCCCTTCGAAATCCAGCTTGTACTTCTGAGAGTTCTCGGTCCACATACTGCTGAGGGCTACCTACCTTGTAGAATTTTGAGCATAACCTTGCTAGCGTGTGAAATGAGTGCAATTGTATGGTAGTTGGAGCATTCTTTGGCACTGGCTTCTTTGGGATTGGGATGTAGACTGATCTTTTCCAATCCTCTGGCCACTGCTGAGTTTTCCATACTTGCTGGCATATTGAGTGTAGCACCTTGATAGTGCCATCTTTTAATATTTTTAATAGTTCAGCTGAAATGCCCTCACCTACACTGTCATTATTGTTAGCCATGCTTTCTAAGACCCACTTGACTTCACTTTACAGGATGTCTGGCTCAAGGTCAGTAACCACACTATCTGGGTTATCCGGGACATTGCAGATGGGGACAGCAGCCACAAATGTAAAAGACGCCTGCTTCTTGGGAGGAAAGCAATGATAAACCTAGACAGCATCTTAAAAAGCAGAGCCGGCACCTTGCTGACAAAGGTCCGCATATTCAAGGCTATGGTTTTTCCAAAAGCGATGTATGGAAGTGAGAGCTGGACCATAAAGAAGGCTGATCGCCGAAGAATTGATGCTTTTGAATTGTGGGGCTGGAGGAGACTCTTGAGAGTCCCCTAGACTGCAAGGAGAACCAACCTATACGTTCTGAAGGAAACCAACCTTGAGTACTCACTGGAAGGACAGATCCTGAAGCTGTGTCCAGTATTTTGACCATCTCATGAGAAGAGAAGACTCCCTGGAAAAGC